TCAATGGCCTTCGGAGGCGGGCCGGCGGCCGCTGAATCCCCACTCCCCTATGCTTTGGGTAGGATTTTATTTCATGCTTTTTAAGGAGTAGTGTGGTTGGAGCCGGCCTCAGTGGAGTACTTTCCTCAGGCTCTGCAGGAGGAGTGTCAGTCGCCTGTCGGCCTTACTCGGCCGGGGGCACCGAGGAGGAAACGGTGGGGAAGGTGCGGGGCAGCGGCGGCTGGGCTTTCCTTTGCCGGGGCGGGGCGGGGGGGGGTCCCTCGTGACCTCGGGGTGGGCGGAGGGGCGTTGGCCGTTCGTTTGTGGTGGTCTAGGGGAGATCAGGTGGTTTCCAGGGAGCGTGCTTTCATCCCAGGGTAAAAGCTAGAGCCCTCTCAAACCTCTTCAGGCCTCAAGAGAATTTTGAACCCCATATTTCCTTTACGTGTCAGGCCCAGATGGGTGAGTGTAAACCCACCGAAGAAATGCAGTGACGTGTGGGTCCCCTTATCCTCTCTTCTCCCTATCCCCACCTTTGGCCACCCTATGGAATGGCCTTTCTGACCAGGGCATTGAGCATCTCACCAGAAAACTACAACTGTATCCAGCCCCTTGCTAGGGGGCGGAATTCGCCCAGGGCCTAACTCTGGAACAGGTGTAAGGAACAAGGCAGGGGACAAGGAAGCTCCGTCACTTGAGATGTAAGGTGCTTCTCACTCTCGTGTACTCTCGGCCCCTTACTCTTCACGCACAACTTTTTTTAGTGTTTCCCCCTTGGCCCTGGGCCTCCTCACCAGCCTATTTGTCCTGGGGAAAAAAAAAAAAATCAAAACTTGCCCTGGGATGGGGCGGGGGGTGGGGGGCAGTGCTGCTTCTCCACCCCCTACCCCCACTCACGCGTCTTTGGCCGGCTCTAGAGAGAGAAAGCAACACGTGGGAAAGAAGCCTGGAGATGGGGAGCCTAGCTGCCTGGTGCATGCACCTTTTTCCTTCACCCATCACCCCAAAGAGGAGTAGGAAACCTCTTGCTTGGGGGTGAAATTTGCTTTGGTCTCCTAATTTAATTAACTTGAGGTTACCAGGGATGGCTGACCAACAAAGATTCTTTTAAAATTCTAAGCTGGCCATGCAAATAGCTGGGATCCTAGCTGGGGAGGAGTAGACTTGCCCACCTGCATGCCTCCTCTCCTGCCCATGCATCCCCTCCCCCATGCTCACTTCCTACCTCCTCGCTCTAACCCATTTTCCATTTCCAGCTCTAGAAGGGCAGGGATGCTAACAAACAGGGGTTACAACTGGAAGTTACTTGCATGACTGAACCCAGCTTAAGTCCCTAGAGGAAGCTGCTGATGGTATTCTCACCCTTTGAGGTTGAGGAAGTTTCGGAGGGGGGGGAAGGGCTTCTGTGAAGCTTCCAAACCACTAATAGGATCCCCCTTCCCAACAGTGAGGTACACAAATACCACCCTTTATCTTAGTGAGTTGATACCACCAAGCAGCCTCCTGGCCATTGGTGTAGTTCCTGCAGCTGGCTGGGGGAACAGTAACGCAGGGGAGTATATTAGAGGAGGATTGGGGCAGGGCAGTGGGCACGCCAAAAGTTAATATATTGAGAACTTAGCTTGAGTCTGTTCCTTCCCAATTCCAAAAGTAGGAGTAAAGAGTGAGGGTGGATTTGGGGGGGCATATAGTGGAATGCCTCTCTCAGGTCTCCCCCACCATTTTAGAAAGTCAAGGCACCAGCCATTCTTGCCAGTTTCATCTCAGTGCTTCCTGAAGAGGCTGTTCGGAGTGTTTAGAAGATGAAAAAACAATGCAATTATGCCAAACAGTATTGAGCAGAATAATTTATTTCCTTTTGTTCCTTTTTCTTCTTTTTGTTTTGTTTTGTTTAAAACATTAATAAATCCCCTTTCTGGAAGAGGTAGGTCCCAGCATCCAGCCCAGATCTCCTTTTCTGCAATAGTTATTTAAACAAATGTTTTTTATTTTCTTCCCTTTCTCTCTCTTTCTGAATTAAAAAGAACGAAAAAACTATATAGTCACTTGTCTATTCTGAAATGGGTCTGATCGTGGAAAGAAGGCATATCTGTCACTGGGGGGCTGTCACTGAGTAATGACTAAGAACATCGGGTGGAATGTATGAAGGAGGAAGAGAATGACTCCCAGACACCCGCCCCTTCTACATGAGGCCTCCCAACCCAGGACTACCACAGGTGCCCTCTGAAATGGTGGTTATTCACCGCTGTCTTTTGGGGCATCTGAGTGGATCAGCAGGGCAGGGGCCCCATAGCATGTACACCCAGCAGGCACCAGGATGGGGCTTTTCCTCTACATTTCCAGGTTCTGCGGATGCTGTAGGTGTGGGTTGGCAGGAAATCGACAGAATGGTAGGAGCCAGTGCCACAGGCATCTGAGGCACCTCCTCATACCCTTTCCTTGGACCATCTGGACCCCTTCAGCCTACTTCCATCATGCTAGGTAATGCCACTGAACATCCAGTTTTATAGTTCAGTGGATCAAATAATACAGATCTCACAACGGATAGCTTAGAGTCGAAAGTCACTTGGTGTCCTGGAATTCAGTTTGTGCCAATGCCCAAGAGCAAGCCAGGGGTTGCTTTTCAGATGGAGAATACTTTTTGGTGGAGGTGGGTATTGGTCTAAAACCCTAGAACTTGGGGCTATAATTCTCTTATTTGGAGTTTTCAGAGACTCCATACATCTTTGCCTACCACAGACGCTCTAATAGCTTTTGGTTGGCTGAGTCCTAAGGCCTGGTGGCAGGACAGTGCGCACATAGCCTGGGCTGCTGAGAACCATTTCCTGTCTGGATCCCACTCAGCTGCCTTACAGGTCACTGTAATTGGTTGAAGCAGAACTCCTAAAAACTGTACCTGTTGGCTCCGGAATCAAGAGTCCCACCAAATAGTGTATCTTTTTTTTTTTTTCCATGTTGGCCAAGAACTGTGTTGCTTTGATCCCACAAAGATACCACATCTGGAACCACAGTTTAGCAGTACCATTTGATTGCATTTGTAATAAACTACTATGAATTTCTTATTTTTTTTTAAAGATTTTATTTATTTGAGAGAGAGAGAGCCCAAGAGGGGGTAGGGTCAGAGGGAGAAGCAGACTCCCTGTTGAGCAGGGAGCCCGACGTGGGACTCGATCCCAGGACTCTGGGATCATGACCTGAGCTGAAGGCAGTCGTTTAACCAACTGAGCCACCCAGGCACCCAAACTACTATCAATTTCTAAGACTCAAGATGGTGAGTAAATGGGATGAGGAAGAAATCATCCACCCCGGTATAACTCAAGTTTGATGGCAGCACGAATCTACAGATCCTGCCAGAGTGTGGGTTTTTTGTTTGATGTTTGACTTTTGACTTACTATCTTGGAGGTAGTTCCAGGGACTTCTGTTTGGCCCATACTTCATAATCACCCTCATTCCATGGGTTAGGTTACCAATATGGGGATTTTGCTTGGTAGTAAATGTCTCTCTTTCCTTTTGGGACTGAGGAAATTACAGGCATGACTAATATTTTTGCACTTTGCAGATGGGGGTTTTTTGGTGGTGGTGTTTTTTACAAATTGAAGATTTGTGGCAACCCTGTGGCAAGCAAGTCTGTCCATGCCATTTTTCCAACAGTGTTTGCTCACTTTGTGTCTCTGTGTCACATTTTGGCAATTCTCACAGTATTTCAAACTTTTTCATTTATTTGGTATAGTAATCAGTGATCAATTATTATAGCTTGCTGAAACCTCGGAAGATGGTTAGCATTTTTTAGCAATAAAGTATTTTTAGTTAAGGTATATAACATTTTTATACATAATACTATTGCACACTTAATAAACTATAGTATAGTGTAAGCATAACATATTCACTAAGAAACCAAAAAATTCTTCAGGCTTGCTTTATTGTGCTACTCACTTTATTGCTGTGGTCTGGAACCCAACCTGCAATATTTCAGAAGTATGTCTGTGCCCATTTTTTTTTTTAAGGTAGCTCCACACCCAGCATGGAGCCCAGTGTGGGGCTTGAACTCATGACCAGGAGATCGAGATCTGAGCTGAGATCAAGGGTCAGATGCTTAACCTACTGAGCCACCCAGGCACCCTAAGTATGCTTGTACCTAAAATGGGTCTATGATCTCCTTGAATCCACCATTAAATGGACTTGGATCAGAGCCCCATCTGTCATTTGCCATAATAAGCCTCTAATTGGTGGACAACTTTGGTATTCAGATGTCAGAGCTTAGTATCGGATAACTCCCGAAGCTCTGGGTATTTCCCTTTCCCTAGTGCGCTGTCACTCGGAAAATGGGTCCCTCTGGAAAGGCTTGGGAAAGATTTATTCTACACACCTGAGCCATGTCAGTCACTCCTCAAAGGACCCTGGGATCCCCTTGAAAAAGAGGTTCCATGTGTGACCTGAATTAGGTCTGGGAACTGGGTGAGAAGCTGTGAATCCCCATCACTGTGACTCAGTTTTCTCAGTGCTCCTCGAATTTGTCCTCCCATGCACATTAAGCAGAACCTTAGTAGGCTGCCCAGCATCTATATCATTTCTAGAGACCCTAATGGTCCATTAACTTGTCCCAAATCCTTGTAGGTCAAAACTCCAGTTACCATCCTGTGGTTTGTTGTGGTAAATGTGCCTACCATCTCAAGCAGTTAGGCACTGGTTAGGCATGTCTTTTTGGCCTTTATCATGTTGGGGTCACATTATTCTATGACTTACACATGACAGCCACCACAGAGTTCCTCAAAGATGTTGGTGTACCAGTCACTAAATGCATTTTTTAAATTAAATTTTTAAACTATTTTTGTCGTGGAATATAATACATATGCAGAAAAGAGCATAAAGATAAATGTGCAAAAATAGATCATGAATTATTATTATTATTTTTTTTTTTTTAAGATTTTATTTTTTTTAAGTAATGTCTATACCCAGCATGGGGCGCCAACTCATATCCCTGAGACCGGGTCACATGCTCTACTAAGCCAGCCAGGCACCCCTAGGGACTCAATTTTGAAGCCACTTATACCTCAGGATACTAAGATGAAACTATGTTGCATCTTCACAAACCATTCCTTTCTGGCCACACAGGGCACCTGGTCCTCCTCAGCACTGAAGAGGAGCGGGCTGAAAGGAGGGGCAGGCACCCCCTCCAGTGCAGCTCCTCCCCTGGCAGGGCCTCCACTGCTACTCACATGGCAGAAGATCATGGCCTGAGCAATGGTGATGGCCCCGTAGAGGTTACACAAGGCCTGGAACTTCTCATCTCTGTTATTGCACAGGACATAATACTGCTTGATGGTGTCCAATGTCTCCTCCTCGCGCTTCAGTTTGATAATGTTTGGGTCTGGGACCACTTTCTGGGCAAACTTCCATACGGAGTCTTCAAAGGTGGCAGAGAAAAGCAGCATCTGGCAGTTCCGGGGCAGCATCCTGCAAGGGAAGACCCAGGTATGTGGCATGATCCCGAGTCTTTCCCTGGAAGGAACAGAAGAAAGCCGCCCCGGCTTGCATGGTCTACATGCCGAGGAAAGTGGCAAAGGGGGAGGAGAACAGCAGGGAGGAGGTGAGAGCAGCCATGGGGCAGGAATGGGGCTGGTGTTAGATTCCCTAAGTCTCCTTCCTCAACCCATGGTCAGTGCTGATGAGGAAATGGCCCATCGAACAAATGCTTCTGGAAGTACTAAAGTAAAGAACCTGACGGGAGCAAGAAGAAGTGTTTGAAGTAAAAGGAGAAGATGCTGCAGATCAGGAGGCTGAGAAGTTCCTCTTGGCTCAAGAGTTCCTACCTCTGGATGCGGATGCTCTGATCTTGGTGCCCCTGAGTAGCTATCATCACGTCAGCCTCATCCAGAACAAACACCTTGATCTTCTTGGGGTCAATGAACTTGAGCTTGGCGCACCAGTCCAGAACAGTCCCAGGGGTGCCAATGACAATGTGCTCACTGATCTTCTGACCTCTTTCCACTGTGGAGACAAGATGTTTTCTGTGGGTATTTCCATGGCAAAACCAGCTTTGGAAATCAAAGCCTTGCCCATCCTTCCAGGGTTAGTAAAATAAGTTAATTCCAGATGTCAAAACATACACACAGGAGTGTTATCCAAAAGTCTTGGGTTCTTCTACTGTAAAGTAGGCACAATGGCACCCATCTCACTGCATCGTGGTCAGGATTCAATCCTCTGAAGTGAACCCTCAATAAGAACCAAGTCCCCTTCCCGCTTCCTCCTGTGATTCAACAGCATCCCACTCATTCTCCTCAGTGCCATTCTTACTCACTTCACATCATACCTTCACTCACGGTTCACAGATTTTTCTTCAATTGTAGTTTTGAGTCCCAGGATCCTGGCCCAATGAGTTTTTGCTTTGTTAGACATTCTAATGTGTAGAGTTTTTCTAAGTACAAATTCTCTGGTTTAAAAAACATGTTACTCTCGAATTATAGCTGGTGGGAGCTGAAACTGGCACAACCATCTATCAAAATTACTAATGCACACAGCCTGTGACCAATACTCCATGATTAAGAATTAACCCTGTGTGTATATTAACACACGCGAAGTAATACATATACAAGGATATGCAAGCATCAAAAGGTAACTAATGAAGCAAAATATGATACACCAAATGGATGATGTCAGTAAAAGTAAAAAACTGCTTAGGAACTGATATGGAACAATCTCCAAAATACATTATTAAATGTGAAAAAAAGTTGCAGAGCAGTTTGCATACCAAAAGAGGCAAAAAAGAATACATGTAACACGTGTCCATGTGTGAGTGTACACATGTTAACATATTTATACATACTATGTGCCTGGAGCCACACAGAATATCTCTGGTGTTCCACATGAGAAACTGGTTAGTACTGAGGGCCTGTAGGAAGGAGAACTAGTTGGTTGGGGGTATGGGAGAAAGAAGTTTCTACCACATGGCCTTTCAATTTAAACATGCGAATGTGTTAACTATTTTAAAAACAAAATTTAAAATTTGAGAAGAAGGGTCTTTCGTTAGAAATTCATCAACTACCCACTGGAAAAATTGTGAATTAACTCAAACACACTGTAGTTCTCAACTTCCACTGCCCGTAAGTCCAAACTGAACTTTTAAGAAATAAGTGTAAAAAGTAAGTACAGTTAATATATTAACCCTTCACACATAGTGAAGTCCTATTTATTACAAAACAATCTAGAGAAGATATATGTTGTTACAAGATTCTGGTAACTTCACTTAGATGTACCCACCAGTGTGAGGCATCAAATAAACACACAAATTACATAATCAACCTAATAACTTTTGGGTAAGGTAGTTTTGCTGCATGCCAAAGCATGATGGTTTTCTCCAGGAAAAGCTCTGTGATCATGTGGTGAGCTGAACTAGCCATTTCTCTCTGTGGACTGACAAACTATAGAAAACGAAGCAAGGAATTTGATATCCACTTTCTTGAAAATGAACAGGCTGTCTCTTCAGTGAAAACAATCCACTGTATTTGCTGCCACAATAACATTTAAGCTTTCAAGAGAAAATTAGCATTTTGGAAGACTTGTATGTGCCACTAAGTTTGAGTTTCTTGAGGTACATAAAGTCCTCTGATGAGTTTGGTGGTAATATTAGGGCAAGCAATTTAAAAAGTTTGTATAAGATGTCTCAACATTTAGAACTGTGTAACTCAGTAAGACAGGATTTTCCAAGAGACCAAGGTATTTTAATGTAACAGTACGAAAAATTCAGTAACAGGATTTCAGTTTCCAGACTGGAACTAACTCTTTTTTTTTTTTTAAAGATTTTATTTATTTATTTGAGAGAGAGAGCACATGAGAAGGGGGAGGGTCAGAGGGAGAGGCAGACTCCCCGCTGAGCAGGGAGCCCGATGCGGGACTCGATCCTGGGACTCCAGGATTGTGACCTGAGCCGAAGGCAGTCGCTTAACCAACTGAGCCACCCAGGTGCCCCAGACTGGAACTAACTCTTAAGTAATTACCACTTGGTAAGTTTTGGTGTAGCCTCCAAAAAGGGTATCTAAAATTATTTGAGGGGTGCCTGGGTGGCTCAGTTGGTTAAGCGACTGCCTTCGGCTTAGGTCATGATCCTGGAATCCTGGGATCAAGTCCCACATCGGGCTCCCGGCTCAGCGGGGAGCCTGCTTCTCCCTCTGACCCTCTCCCCTCTCATGCTGTTTCTCTCTCTCTCTCAAATAAATAAAATCTTTAAAAAAAAATTATTTGAAAGGCCAGATTGTCTTCATATTCTTCAAAAGTAAGCTCTTTAAAAATTTCTTAATTTTAGCTTCTAATATGGCAAATATCAACAGATAAAACCTGTATAAACAAAAATGCTTTGGAGTTCTCAGTAATGTTTAAGAGTATAAGAAACCAAAAAGTTTGAGAATCACTGCCCCAGGCAATTATAAACTGCTGGGTCAAAGGAAGGTCTGTCTGTACTTTTTCTAAGGAATGCCAAACTGCTTCCAGAAAGTAACTGTACCAGTGTATACCCCCCACCAGGAGTGTATGGGCATTCATCCTTGGATGTCTCCATCAATACTTAATATTATCAGACTTCATCATTTCTGTCCACCTGAGAGGCATATAGTGGTTTTAACTTAGATTTCTCTGATGACAAATGAGGCTTATTTATCATCTCTTCATATTTACTGGACATCTGAATCCCTTCTTTTGTGAAGTGTCTGTTCAACTGGGCCTCTTTTCCTATTTAGACTGCTTAATTTTCCTTACTGACTTGTAGTTTTATACACTGTGATAACTTTTCTAATGAACTGTTTTCTAGCTGCCCCCCCTCTCCACTTTAGTCCATGTTCTCTACATTACATTCTGTAGAACACAAGGGAGAAAAAACTGGTGGAAGGATTTCTGGTTTTGATAACACCAAGTTATCTGTATGTGCTCCTAGTTTACTCTTACTAAAGCTGTGCTTGTTTTTAAACAAAGGGATATGACTCCAACCTACCATCCTCACACCTACTAATCCCTTGTTAGGAATAAGCAGCTTCCAGAACTCTGCATGCTGAATTCAAAATCCTGTTTTCTCAGTGAAGAATGCCAGACTTTAAGAAATCCATGACCCATACAAAGATTTCTACAACTCAAAATCTTCTTTTAAGAGTACGAACGACTGTTAAATAGCAAGTTTAAAACAGATTTGCTGAAAGTAATGCAGTAGGTCAACTGAACCAGAAAGTTTAATATCATCACACCTTCAAAATTCAAACACCCAACCACCCTATCCTGCTCACTGCTTAGGTCTCACCCCTTTATACTTACATTTATTGCCTCGAACAGCATAAGCAAGCTTTAGTTCTGGATGAAATTTGCCCATCTGCTCAATCACTTTTCCCGTTTGAAGAGCCAGCTCGTATGTTGGGGAAAGGCACAAACACTGACAGGGAGATCATAAAGGTTGAGTTTAGGAGAGCCTCTGTCTATTACTAGACAACAGGCCCTAAAGCAACAATATGCTGATCTAATCACCACTCAAAAGTGCAGGGAGCCACATCCTCTCCAACCAGGTTGCCTTTAGCAGCGAGCCCTGGCTGGGTGGATGCCTTTGGAAGCCACTGTTTAAGACCTCTGCTTCCGAATGAATTCTACCCAGATTGTGGCCTCGTGCTCAGTGCTCTGCCTGAGCCACAGGAAACATTCAGACCCCTTTAGGGGCACCCTCATTAACCGCCCACCAGATGGCACTGCCTTTACCAGGGCAGGAAAGCCAGGGCCCTCAGGATCCCCTAGCCCTCACCTGGGGGTATCTCTCTGCTGGTTCCACTCGGCTGAGCATGGCCAGGACGAAGGCAGCTGTTTTACCAGTACCTGACTGAGACTGGGCAATCAGGTTCTGTGGGCTAGATCAAGGAAGAATAGAAATGAA